TAAAGAATTCAGTGGAGTATAAACAAAGACGAATCCATTTGAAAACCCATAGGCTACTGTACCCGTTGATTTAACACCAATTACATAATATTCTTGATGTCCGTAGTCTAACGATAAATATTTATAATACGCAACAACGTCATTGCACGAAAAGTCCATTGGGTTTGCGTGTGCGGACATTCCCGTATTATTTACAATACCGATAAATGTTCGTTGGACAACTGTTTCCTCGTCATCAATACCTGAAATTTCGCCGGCAAAATAAAAGTATTCTTGTGTCGATGCTTGTTTACTACCAACAGCCACTGTGTAAACATATTGACTTGAATCCGGGTAGTCAACTGAACAAGAAAGCGTTAGTGGAGAATCGTAGGGAGAAAATTGAACAAAAAGTAATTGATCTCCACCTTGAGCTTGTGCTAAAAGAAAATCGTTCGCAGCAAATTTCAAACCGTATGCATTATAATCCGTGATATCGGGATCGAATATGCTTGATTTAACATCATTCACAAATATAATTAAAATAAACAGGTACAGGTATTGCATTTGCGGACACATTGACCTTAGAAAAATAATAGTACTGTTTAAACAAAAATCTCAAGTTATGTCCCAACATTCTATGACTACTTTCAATGATGGAGAAATTGAAAAAACAAATAATAGCCCTTTTAGCTTGAACTGTTGAGTGTAGTGTGCATTTTTCTATAACTCCTTGTAAAGTGTGATCGTAGAATATTAGGAGACATCTCATCTTTTGCTGAGAGTTTTGTGGTCTATCGAACTATGTAACAAACCATGTGATTTAGTTCCAGAAAATGCCGGGTTTTCCAGAAACTCTTAACGAAATTCAAACTATTGATCTTGATTTCGAATAGCCCATCGCCGATAGTACTAAATAAAACTACTCTGGCGAAATTCTATAACAGAAAGCTCTGGCAAGTATTTGAATAAAACCAGCCATATGGGGATGATTCTAACAACACTGGTTTTGAGTCGTAGAATGGGGATAACTGAACTCTGAGCCAGCCAGTGAATAGAGTATTTTGAGGAGTATTTATAGTAAAAAAAAAATCGTGTCTTAAATCTCTCTCCTTTCCGCCGTATTTTTGACGACGCAATTGGGCTCGTCATAGAAAAATTATGGCCGAGAGATTTACTAAATGTTTTTCCACACCAGCTGTTTTGAGGAAATGTACGAATCAGATATTTTTTAAAAACAAAAAATCAATTTTTCTTGCTTTTTACAGTGGCGTTGGCCTTTACGCAGAAATATAAGATAAACGTAGTTTCGTTAAACTTCACAGTTCTAGTGCAAACGTTTAAATGACGATATAACTGCGCCGAAAAAGTTCAAAGTCAAAATGATCGGTTTCTTAAAGAGTCTTACAGAGCCAACCACTTGAAAATAAACATTTTTTAGATGTTTCTTAACACTACTTGAATGTATACACCGGCAATCTAGATGCATCCTGAAAATATCTTGAGTTTTCATTGGATTCTCGTCAAATGTTGCTACTTTTTACGGAGGCATCTAATTATTTTAAATTTTTGACTAGCAAATTCAAAAATATAAAAACTGACAGAATATATCCAACGCACTCTTCTCGTCATACTAGCAGTCCCGAAAATTCGAAAATATCAAGGTTTTCTAAAGATCTTCTGGACTGACGTACTTTTATTAACATTTCAGTTGATACAAAAATCCGGTTAATTTTTGACAAGTCGATTTCCCCCCTCCCTTAATCATTCAAATATTCAAATATATCCTTACCAAATTTACTTTTAACTGTTAAGATTGCATCATCTTGTTATATACACAGAAGAACATAGCTAAAAATGATAGTATCATATTTAATGATTTTTTAGTATTGTAAGTTTGAATGCGTGATTTTACTGTTTTTATGACGGTTAAAAATCATTGATTGTCAACTATATTTTTACTAAACAAAAATGTTGCCGGAAGCAAGATGTATCTTTCTCTTTTCTTTTTTCTCAATCAAATTATTAAAACCGGCTAAGAAAATATGATTTTATCTAGCGTCAAACTGTAAATGATTGAAATAGAGAAAAAAAACTTAAAAAATGATATGTTTTCGATTACACGATTGTTTTTGAAGCGTTTTAAAATTACAAGCTGTGTTTCCTGAGAGAGTGAAATCATAGTGGAAAAAAAATGTAGCACATATAGATAAATAATGATTTTACTAGCTTTTTAACTGAACTCCGGCAGTAGAATGTAGAATTAATCAAATTTGTTTTCTTGCTGAATAAAAACACAATTAATTTTGAAATATATTATTCTATTGATTGTGGATTTTTCACGTCAATCCTTTGTTTGGATTGCAGAAACATATGAAAGTAAATATGATTATAATACACATACAGTTAACGTTCAATTTTACCTTCGATTCACTGGCTCACATGCCCGAAATATTTACAAATCAGAATTAACTCTCATACTGGCTTTTCTCGCAAATAAAAAACTTGTATCCTTCTTTTTCCTTTGACTCTCGGCATTGTTTATCTTTGAATGTGAGAGAAGTTGAACATCATTACAACGTAGTTTTTCTTCTTTCTACAGCTTTCAAATTCAATATTACGGTACTAGATGAAGTAGGAAGTGTGAATTTCTTCCTTGTTTCTCAACTGTTTTTGGGATATAAATATTTTTACTAAAAGGGAGAGCACAATCGTGGAGGCATCTTGTTACTTTTTTGCGTGGATACTAAAACTGTCACAATTGAGTGTAATGTTACGAATGTTTGTGTCATTGATGTTTAGCTTAAAGAATTCTTACACGTGATAGGACTTTACGCTCCAGATAGTAAATCGTGGTTCTGCAAAATTCTGCCACCTTGCGGATACCTTCTTCTGAAAGTCTGTCAGCTTTCGAATTTTAATATTGGCCTAAATCAGGATGTCTCTAAAGTCAGCTGTCTTCTTGACTGGGTCGATAGTCTCTCTTTGGCACTATATCTTCCTTCTCTTCCTGCTTCTCGCCATTCACATCGTATTACTGACTATATGTTTTCCTCACGTGTGTCTGTTTCTATTCAGACTTATGAACAGTCTTGTACGAGTGATCATAAACCTCTGCGTTCTTTCAAAATGTGCATCGGAAAATGTTTAATCTTTTTCTCATCTTTGTTTTAATTTCTGGAAAAAACAATTATTTGTTGATATCCCTATGCTTGACAGTGTATATTGTGATTATGTAAACTTCAGTTTAGTTTAGTTTAAAAAGAGTAAAAAGAAGAACAAATTCGAGAATATCTAATCTTAAAGATGGAATCGACGGAAGTCATTATATCTTCTCCTTGATTATCATAAACTATAGCAAAAAACCGAAGGAAAAGAAAAGAAGAAAACGGACTATAAGAAATGGACAGAAAGACATGCTTTGTATATGTATGAGTGATTCTGATAAAAATAGTACCGTTCGAATGAAGTAAATGATCCCAAGCATTTCTTTTCTTAGCCTTGATGAATCACTTTCGGACTTCTCGCATATATTCAACAACGTTAGGCTTATAATCACTGCAAGTACGACTTTTCTATGTTTAACCGTGAACGAATTATAAGCAAAACATTCATATTTTACCGTTATTTTGATGTTGTTTTTCTGGTGATTCAAATACGTTTGGTTTTATAAATGTTTCTCTGTTATTTTATGTGGAGCAATATTTTTTTCTCTCTCTTTCTTATAGTATTTTCTTCGCTCTACTCAGCTACAGCATTACCTTTGTTACCGGTTGTTCTGATTTTTTACAAATTTGTTCCGAATTTGTGATCCCAAAAAGCTTATTTTTTCTGTCCCGTAACCACATGGTCTGTGATAGCTCTGATAAGTTATTCAATTTGCCTTCTTGATATGCCAAAAGTTGACTAAATATATAGAATAGACAACAGCGAAAATCCGACGTTTCTATCACTTTTCACTACCAAGTAATTCCCACTTTACTGAAGTTATGTGAGGTTTGACTGACAATTTGTCCCGTAACCACCTACTATGCCACGCCTCAACTAGGCTTGATAGAAAGTTTCTTTTTTTACCATAAGTGTTGTCTACTCACATGGTGATCCTGTATAAACAGCAAAGACTAAGGTTGCTTTATAAGGGAGAAAAGTAGAAAATACAAAGAAAGGTCCCGTAACCGTTTTTTTTCTGTTTCTTCTGTAACTTTAACATACCACGCGCGAATAAAGCCAAATTTCTAGTGTAAAAAGAAAAATTTAGGAAGCTTTAGAAAAATCTCGAGACGGATTCAATTTTTATTTTTACTTTCTCCTGCAAAAACAACTTTTATCATGGCATAATGTTGTGTTGTTTAACATTGCAATAAACTATGCGTTTTGACGGACATTTCATCTTATTCTATGAACGGTATTGACTCTCGCGTCCCATTTCTAGAATATACAACAACGCATCTCATGTATACATTTCCACTTTATCATTGAACATTTTAATAAAAAATTAACTATTAAACACGTAGATTTAATTTCTTTTTTATATTTGTTTTGTTCCTAAAAACAAACTGTTTTCTTCTTCTCATGCACTAATAAATTTATAATTTTCAATCTCGACTCTTCATATTTTCCGTTTTCCTTTTCTATACCTGAACAAAAATAAATATTTAAATAAATGGTTCTCAAATACAACAGAAACGAATTTTAAGGAAATAGTAAACACCAATTGATACAGTATAGATAACAAGCGATGAATATTAAACAAAAATATAATTGATTATGTACAATTTGAAAAGTCGCGTTGATCTCGGAGACACTTAGAAACATGCATTTCATAGCCGGACCGAGGAGTTCCGAGTCATATTTGGATTAGCAGCATTTTTCTGTAAAACAAGTGTACAGGTCTTAAAACTGAGCATTTTATACAGCTTTTTTTCTACGTGGAAGTTGTACCTGAAGTGTTTCCCAGCATTTTTTATAGTGGTTTGTCGTAGAGAGTTCATTCTTTTTTGTTTAAAAGAGGAAAAGAAAAACTACATGGACTTTTGAATTAGATCTTAGTTTTTTGTCAACTTGAGGATTTTTCGGGTTTTGAAGGTCTTGGGTTGCCTGGAAAACCAATAAAGGCTTAATTGAAAAATTGGTGCCGATCAAGCCATGTATTTAGATGTCTAGTTTAAAATAAAACAAACCCAGACTCACCAGCTTGAAGTATATTAAAAATTTTAGGAAAAACTTCAGATTCCTTTTTGGCTTAAACTTCAGGCTTCTTTTTGCAGGATGAGCTGTACTTTGAGATTTAAATGGGAATTCGACCTTTTTAAATCTCAGAAAGTTCAATGTTTTCGGCGTAGAAAAGAAAATAAGTCTTAAACTAATCAGAAAAGAACATTGTATTCATAACAGTTTTTCTTCTCGATCGGATATAGCTGTTCTCCAATTAAAACACCAAATAAAAGCCTAAAAAGTTATGAATACAATGTTCTTTTCAGCTTAATGCAAAACAGATCTCAAATGGGTGTACAATACCTGAAACTTCACCAGAATTCGAGTACTGTCCAGTTTACGTATTAGCGGGTATTCAAGGTATTTCATCCCCTTCACCCAATTTGTCGTATGAGTGCCATAGTATAGCTGGAATGGGGTGTCTCTAATAGAGTGAGTAGACCAGAGTGCCTTAGTTTTCACAACTGATCAGCTGACAGGAGAGGACTGGGTAAAATTCTAGACTATCCAAACAAGGTTTTAATCGTGTCTCAAGATCTTCACATTGTTCTGTGTATTTCGCACCTATTCAACCTGCTTTACTGCTACTAAGCCATCGGGAAAGAAAAAACGACAAACATATCGAAATGAAACTCCCATATCTGAATGATATGTAATAAACAGCGATGGAGTGCGGCTAGATCCGTCAGACTACTTTTTTCTCTTGAGGCCACTATAGCAAGGATTGGAGTTATATTTATATTGGAGTGGTATCCACTATCTCAAAGTTGGATTCTGATAGAGGAAAGGCCAAAGCACGAGTCGAATTTCAGTGATTTGGAAAAAAGTGAATTTCTTGGCAACGAAAAGAACGAAATTTGCCAAAAAAAAGGATCCGTAACTTTTGCCGTGCCGACAAAGGGAGTCTAATGAGATAAAAATTTTGGCTTCATCTCTTATCTAAAAGGACTTGATGCTTTTGCCAGATATGAATGTGGGATTCTCGCCGTCGATAAAAAACTAAAAAGTTTTGGTTTCATGTGATATTCGAGTGGTGTGAAAACTACATTTTTTGATTTAGTTTTTCACGTACAACAAGAATAAGAATGTTTCAAATTTATCAAAGATCATTAACTTGGACATCTTTGCTTGTTTTTAAATTTTAGGGCGTTTTTCAGGTTTTAAAAAATTTTAGTTTTTTAACTTTTTTTCAAAGTTTAAAACACACATACTCTGATTCAGCGCGATGAGCTCTATTAAACCATATATAAAAATCGAAAAATAAATTGCGCTTAAATTTTGGATTTTCACCACCTTACTTATGTGTGAGATGTAATTTGTTTGTTCTTCTTAATTCATGTGACGAATTTTGCTGCTTACTCACATTTATTGTTTTGAGTCAAATTTCTACGCAGCATTCCAAAAGCTGGTATGGTTATAGCAAATAAACATGCTTTTTATTGTACATAAACAGTGGCGGTGCCAAGAAGTTAAAGCAGGGGGGAGGGTGGTAGTTTCAAAAACCAGAGTAGGTCCAAAAAGGGTTTTCTGGCAAGTTTGATTAAGTAAAAGAAATAATACAAAGCTCGCTTTTTTTTACTTCGGACTATTGTATAACCAGTTATCTCCACACTTTGCCGGCCCACGAAGGAAACAGTATTTCTTTATTGTTCCTTCATATAGTGTGAGAGCTGTTAGAAAAATTACAAAACAAAATACTAACTCTACGACCAGTTTTATTTCTGGATCATCGTTCCACTAGCTCCACGGCTATTTGCCGTAAAAAGTTCTGGTTATTATTTTTGACAATATTTTCTTTTAATTTGCATATTTGTTTTTGAAATTTTTGATCAGTATCAATTCTGGTATAAAAACTGTTACAATGACGTTTAAAATTTCTGACTAAAACGTGTTTAAGGGACAGAGGACATTTGCCTGATAAATTATTTGACATATTCTGTCAAGAAGAATCTAATTGCCTGATAAACGTATAATTTAAATGTGTATTCTGTTTTATCTGTCTATTGTTATTCATAGCCTGTTGTCTAATTAGTTCAGTCAAGTTTATAGCAGAAAAGAGAATCGCTACACTAATTGTTTTGGAGAAAACAGCAAATATCTGAGCAAAAGCTGTAAAAGGAGCAACCAAAAGTTGACCAAAATCGGAGTAAACTCACTCCATTCTTTCACAAAATTGGAGTAAGTTTTCCGTACTTTTGGCTCAAATTGAAGCAAATTTCCAACAAAATTTCTCAAAGCACAACTTTTTGCTTGCACATAGAGACTTCTGTATGGTGAAGCTTGACTACACCATGTTCTCCAAGAAAAGTCCGAGTAAAACATGATATAACCATTGCGGAAAAAAGGATTTCAGATAAACGGTAAACGCGTGCGAATTCTGACTTCCTTGTAGGAAGCCTCAGCCGTTTACTCATGCATCAATTCGGACGTTTTGCATGAACGACAATTTCGTGTTTAAAGAAAATCAGCTAATTATTATAACTGTCGTCCATGTTAGACGCTGTTTCTGCATTCGACACGCGCTTATTTTTAATTAGCACTGAAAGTGCCTTCTTTGATCTTTTCTGCACTTATTCTATGCGCTGAAGCTTGCTGAATTTAATTTTAATATTTCAAACTCAAGAAGTAGCAAGTTTGATTATATTTTACTCTATGAGTTACGCTAAATATTTACTCTATAGGTTATACGTATATACATTCTAGTCACTTTCACTAGGAACTGGTTGTATTTCTATTGTTTCTCCTCGTGTATATATACATGTAAATTTAGCTATTCATATTCAGTTAGTTTTTTCTCTCGAGTAATATCCTTCGAATGTACATGCAACAATCCGTATATTACAGGATTCCTTTATCTATACGTTGTTTTCTCCTTTTTTTAGATGTGTAGTGTGAAGTATTATAGCCCCAAAGTCCATCGACAACGAAAGCGTCGCCAATAGGTGAAACAAGAATAGCAAATTACTCCTAGCTCCGATAATACGTCTGGAGAAAGTGGTGATGAGTGTTTCTCTCCGATGCCAACAGTCGCATTTGGTCAACCGGATATGCTACCCGAAATGAACTTTTACTTTACACGGCAAGCCATCGAACAGTTAAATTTGCTGTGAAACAAATCATGAATTTTGTCTTAGGCACGAATTTAGGTAAATCACGAACAGTTCGATTATTAAAGTTGATTAAGTCTATTTTTCTGCAACCAAACTTGCTTCCAACAACACATCATAAAATTCCTGGCATATTTGGAAGAACAACTTTATTTACTACCAACCATTTATGTTCTAATTGCTCGATCACAGTAAAAACATCGAAATACGGTTTCAAACATTGTCGTTTTTACGATGCAACATTGAAGAATAATCAAGTAACTGAAATTATTACATTAGACATTCATTCAATGCTTCATTCAGTTGTAAAACGAAATATGATATTATTAACAGATCACGATCAACTTTTTCCAGACAGTGATATACCATATTTTCGACATTACGAGACAACAACAAAAAATCAAGGAAATACAATAACTCTCCTTTTACATGCAGATGGAGCTCCGTTGGTACGAAGTACAAAGCAGAATTTATGACCATGCTTTGCATCAATCGCAGAGCTACAGTCTCCGGTACGGGATTATCAACAAAACATCACGATCCTGGCATTATGGGCGAGTCGCAAAAAAACGGATGCAAATCTGTTTTTGCGCGAAACAAATGAAAACAATGATAAATCATGGAACATCTATAATTGTTGGTGATCTGGAATTCAGATTTTCTTTGCGTACTCAATGCTTTGTTTCGGATCTGCCCGCAAAAACCTTGTTTTTAAAGACGATTAATTTTAACGGTTTGCACGCATGTACATATTGCTTGACATCGGGTAAAAATAAATAAATAAAACTAGATGCAGGTTGTTGCAGTAAGTTTGTTTGTTTTTATTGTTCCCTGTAGGAAAGTACAGTCAGGAATATCATAATACATTATATTCATATGATGATAATAATTACACCAAAAGAACTCATGAAGCAGTCATAAAAATAGCAAAACAAGCATCTTCACATTTTGAAATCAATGGGAAAGAAGTAGCTATCAGTGGGATAAAAGGATTATCGTCATTATTGCAGGTTCTGAAATATCCAAGTCAAATAGTGTACGACTATATGCACTTAGTGTGCTTAGGGCATGTTCCTCCACTAATAACGCGGTGGAAAGCAATTATCTCGAGAGACGATTTAAACTGTATTGACAGCCGGCTATCCAAAATCAGAATTCCTCACAATATGAATGTTGTTTTTAATTATTCTATGAGTAACATCAGTGATTGGAAAGCTAAACATGGTCGGTTATTTATTCTCTATGTTGGCTTACCGGTTTTATTTGGACATTTGTCCGTTATCTACTTACCCATTTCGCCATTTCTTCATTATTTATAAAATTATTGCACGCACCTGATAATAAGGGAGAAATCATTTTGGCAAATGATCTGATACATTATTATTGTGAGTGCGCACCTTTAGTATATGATCGTTCTGTTGAAATCTACAGCCTGTATAGTCACTTACATTTATCAGAACAGGTGGCGGGTGAGTATTCAACTACTTTGCAACAGCGCATACATCAACTTGATCAATAGTTTTTGTTTTTGAATATTTCAGAATTTACAACCGAAGAGTTGACAGTAGAAAAATCGCGTGGTGTACATGAAATTTCAATTACAAATCATATGATTGGAGATTATTGTCAAATATTGTTGAATTTGATCCAAGTACAGAATTAATCTATCGAAAAAGTCAGGTTTTACAAACGTTACAAAACACCATTTATCACTTATCATACGTACATGTATGATAAACAGTTCAAGTGTGTCAGTTACATTATATCGTATAACGATGGATTGGACGATGATGCTCATTACGTTAATTGCTTATTGTTTTATGAATACAAAGAAGCAAGTTTTGTTTTTATACAAAAATATCAGCGATCCCCGAAAGAACAACAAATCTCGTCCTTCTTGACGCTACCCAACAAGGAAATTGATGATGTATTAAATAATTTGTTTTCAATGCAAACATTATCACTGGCATTTGAAGTAGTTCGAATCGAACAGATTCGAAGAAAATGCATTGCTGTATCTGTAAAACACGCAATTTGTCTAACAGATATAATAATTGACTTCGAGCATGATTAGAGCTTTTATTTAGTTCTTTATTGGTTTTTGAGTCGATGTCTTTTGTGAGTATTTATTTCCTTTTTTTGTGACCTTCTTGTCTTTGAAAATAAGATGAAGGGAATAAGTTAGTACTTATGATATGTAACTTCATTTTTCATTACATCACCTACTGTGCTGATAAAGAAAACGTACAGGTCATCGGAATATCAGAAACTCCCAAGGATGAAAGGTGAAAAACTTATCCATAACAGTGTGACGATGACTAGATAAGCGAGAAAAGATAACTGATAGTTCCAGTGCTGACTCGAAGAAAATTTCTTTTAATTTATAGATTATGGCTAATAATATGGCAAACAACATATATGCGCGATCCTACACAACTACTCATCGCTCACGCGAAGATGATCCATATGTTTTAATAATTTTTCGAAAAGATAAATCATATATTATTGAAAAGAAGACAAGTTGCCCGCCTCCGAATGAGGACGGTCTTGTTACAATGACATTCAGAAAACAAAAAATGAGCGGTTAAGTATTCCGTGACGGTTAGAATTTACTCATTATCTGATGGCTTTACTGTATCTTCGATATTCTTTTAGGAACGAAAAAGAAACTAGAATTGTCTGCTCAAAAACTAGAATACACAATGCTAACAGATGTAGAATCCGATATTGATGCAAATTTAACTCCCCAAAAAGAAAACTTAATTGAAAAACTTTCAAACAAAAGCACTGTTCCATGTAAACCTACAACAACGGCTTCTACTACAGGTATATCTGATGTGGTCTCTCCAGAAGAAAGGTGCAAATTGCATGAGTACCTACCTACTGCAGTTTCCTGCTTTAATATATTTTTAAGGTGCTAATACGTTACGAAGTTTATCCGTCATGCCTTTCCGCCGTAAGTCAGAGCAAAGCCGTTATTAGATATTTTCGAACAGTACATAGTCGCCACTGTTCGGCTACGTGCTTCTCGAATCTGCACAGTTCTTCCTACGCATTCTCTGTTTATTGTAGGACGTTCTGTTATAAAACAGAAACCGTTGTCGAGTTCAAGCGTTAATAATAATGTATCAGTAGCTCTAACTATAGCAGCTACGGTCGAGAACAATATTCCATCAAATGATTCAGACGACAGCGAACAAGATTTAAGTGATGATCAAGGCCAACATGACAAAACGAAATCAACGAGAAAGAAGAAACAATCATCAACGAAAGATGATGGATTAAAAAGTGTTAAACGTTTACATCCAATGAAACTAGAAATCGACGATAAGCATGAACCTACAGAGGATGAAGTACTTCAACAATTTCTATCGTTTTTGAAAGTATCAGAATCATCTAGTAGTAAAAAGATGCAACGACAATTGGAACAAATAATTATTTCGCAGCAAAAATGTGAAACCTTGTTGCGAGTTTTGTTTTCCAATCAAAAAAAATACAAAGAGAGTTTACCAAACGACGGGTATGAAATGTGTTTGTCTTAAAGGCAATATCTTAATCCCATACGCTTTTTTAGATTAATTTACCACTTCAGGATGGAGAAGAGGACGGTACAGAAGAAAATAATACATTTTGAAAAGAACTAGTAAATCGAGAAATTTTATTAATGCTCTATTCAGAAACCTTTACCGCTTCCGTCTGTCTTATTCATATAAACGTTTGTTCTTCGAACCAGACGAAGAGATATAGGAACGAACACTATTCCATACAGAAATGCATAAGAATTTTCTTTTAAAACCAGATTTTTGAAAGTAATGTCTTTTTCGAGGAGCGTTTCATTTATTGATTACCTTAAAATCTTAAGAAAACGTTGGTTTTAGGTCCCAGCAGAAAAGTAACTATGAGAAGTTTTATATACAGTCAAAAACGTATCCGTTTTACGCTTTCGAGAAATGAAAAGGTGTTTGCTTGAGCGAAGAAAAAACCTTATTGAAAAAAAATATAAATTTTAGAATAGCCATGGTAACAGCTTTCCAGTCTCATCTTTTTTAGTTTTCCAACGTCTTCTTCTTAGATTCTGAAAAGAATGTGGCGAATAAGTTTCTGTATTTACTGGTCGTGCTTTCAAAGAGAATGTTGTTTTACAATGTCATCTTAAAATAATTATATTAAACAGAACGTTCCATGCGACTTAGTGATTATAACTCAGATTGACAGGATATAGTATGGTGGTTCGATCCCTACCACGGACCATCCGTTTTTAAAATCACAGAAAACTGGTTCATGATTGTTCAGTCATCTCATTCTTTTAGATACTTTCTAGTAGATAAAATGACCTTTTCTAAGATTCTTATAAATTTCTACAAATGTGAAAAATGACTTATACTTAACTGTCTAAAATGCCTCATGTAGACACCAGCATAAAACAGTTAACTTTGAGCTGACAGTTTTATTATTTAGTATAATGAAAGTTTTTACTTTTTATATTTATTCATAGTGAAAACCTACATTGCTTGTTCTATAAAACTGCCTTATTTGTCTGCAATCAGTTACCTTTTAACAAAGAAATATTTCAAGCTAGCAATGTTTTGTTAAAAAATTCTCCTTTATCAAAAGTTACTTTTTTCTTTACAGTTAAAATCTTAACCTTTTGATTAACTGTCAAGAGTAAGTGCGTACATAATTGCAATACAAACGTGAAAAAATGACGGTAGCTCAGCTGTTTTCTGTTGCATCCATGCAAGTGACCGTATAAGCTGCGGAACTGCAGTAAATAATACCAGCTCACAGTTAGTAGTCAAGCGAACATTTAGCCAGAAATTAAAATCTCTTATTTTTACTTTTCGGTATTGTCTGCATTTCTTGATTGTTTCATGTATCAGTAGAAATTGTATGTTATGTAATTCTGTTTGTTTTTCTCATTTTTATATTTCTTAGCACAAGTGAAGGCAACTACATGTATTGAATAATCTTTCTTTTTCGTTCGATACATATTTTCTTGTTTTGTTTTCACTTTTTATGTATGAGAAGATATTATACGTTGAATATTTATGTGTGTGTATATATAAAATTTTTTCATTTCTCTTTTAAGTGCATGTTTTTTGTCAACCCTTTCGGATGTTAAATGCGAAAAAGAAATCATAATTTGGATAACTCACACATTATAACTTCTTGAAAAATCTTGTACGCGTTCGTAAAATACTTTTCTCCATACTAGCTATCTAGAATTTTGCATTATTTATAGCAAATGTACTACACCACGGGTACTATCTAGAGCCATGCTTAGAAACTTGAGATTGGATTAGGGATGGGACAGTTCCCATTCCTATAGTTCCTAAGAATTAGTCACTAGTTCAGTTCCTGTTGAACGGGAACTCGTTATCAGTTCCTTCCGAGAATTCAAAATAAAATAAAACCGATGTAGCTGATTATACAACTAAACACACCATCTACTTCTCGCGCACTACACAAAGTCAATGCATGTAGGTTCACCGGTTTTATTTCAATTTTAATTTTTTGAAAAGAACTGGTACTGGAACTGTCCCACCCCTAGGTTAGATAAGTCACCAGGGGAAAACCACTTGGACACACTAAGCTTGTCTAAATTTTAGGGGTATGACAGTTCCATATCAACTCCTATCATAGGAACTGTTAAAAAGTTCTTTTGAAAGAAGCTGATATGTTCGAGCAGCTCACTAGTCGTCTAGACAAAGTTTAAACGTCCCGAATGTTCATCAAACGTTCATATCAGCGAAGTCCTGCAATCGTAAATAGAAGCATGTAAAATGGTCAATTTTTTATTCCTCAGATAAGTATAGTTAAAAAGTAAAATAAAAGAAGTATGATCTTTGTAAGAAAAGCAGACTAAAGAAAAGATTAAAGTTTATCTTTTAAGAACATTGAATATTTCAAGTTTTTAGTTGAGAGAGAAGACCGTATTTTTCGAGCAATATAGCCTGCGATTGAGAATGCGCTCTCACTGGGGACTGAGGTCGCGGGTATAGGACCGAATCGACGTGCCATCTGGTTCAATATTGGAAATACAGTTGAATGTTTTCTCCAGAATAACGCAAATGTATGACCGTTCTTCTCCAGTGCTTCGAGTTAAGCAAGCTCTTGCTTCAGCGTCAAAGCCTTAGCAGTAGTCGTTGAAAAAATTTCAAAAACTTTCAATTTTTAAAAATTCAAAAAAGCTGTTCAAACATATCAGCTCCTTTCAAAATAGTTGTTCAAACATACCAGCTCAACAACAAAACTACCCAAAAGCTAAAAATTTAGGTTTACAGGTTATTTTGCACCGACAATCGAATGAGGACACCTTGAATAAAACAAAATGCCAACTTGTCATGATTCCTGAAGCAGGTGCTTGGTCGGCTAGTGCAGACTATCTTAAATAAGAAAATAAATGTGAAAAAGTTCATAATTTCGGTATTAAACTTGCAAAAATAACTAATCGACCTCGTTCTGGTTGAAGATTAAATCCCAAACGAACATAGCTGTCATTTACTAAGGTAAGTTACTTCAATACTCTTCCTAACAGAGTTCCTATAGGATTTGTATACTAGAAGTAAATGATGGTCTGTTATCAGTTTAGACTCTAAGTAGTTTATAAGGAAAACCTTTCTGATCAAAAGAGGATCCCTGCCGTCTTTGAGTGATGTTCTAATCAAACGTTATAGCAGTTTTACTAGAACCCGCGAAACATGCACCAGATTTAACAACTTCAATTTGTTGTGTCATTCTTGACAGCCTCATAGACCGTCTCCTAAGCGCATCGGAGATTGGAGTAAGTTGAATGCATAACTGTGACTTTGAAGTCATGCAATTTTAGAGTGTGATGTTACTTACACTTAACTGTCTAAAATGGTTCACACAGACACCAGCATAAGACAATCAACTTTGAACTGATACTTTTATTATTTAATATAATGAGAGTTTTTAATTTTAATATTTGTTCATAGTGAAAACCTACATTTCTCATTCGATAATATTGTTTTATTTGCCTGCAATCAAATACCTTTTAACAAAGAAATATTTCAAGCTAGCAATGTTTTGTTAAAGAAGAGCTTTTGATTATAATAATTGATAAATATATTAACTGTCTGTCCATACATTTTAACTCATGAAGCCTTAGAATTATTGGGGAGATTTGTTATCATAACATCATTATGTTTTGTCGCGCCTCGAAATGAATACATTAAGGACATTTTAAAAGAAAAGTCGTGTCAACACTTATCCGGTCGATCATGCTCTGAACTATCCACGCTAAAAATCGTTTTCAGTCATAATTAGAGCAGGTCATCTCTCAGGAAGTCATAAAATGTTTTTCTATCATTTTTATTACAGCGCTCACTACTATTGGTGAAATTGTAGCTTAAAAACGAAAGTGTACTGAAACAAAAATATAAAACAAAAGACACTTCTTGATCTTCTTGAAACTGAACAGAATCTTGTAATCTTGCTTTTCTTTCATTAAATCATTGGCTTAGTCTTAACATCGGGCAATAGCTGATATGCAACGGGAACAACAATAAAACTGAAACCGACAAACCAGTCAACATGAAAGAAATAGAACAACACCATCGGGAAGAATAATTCCTTTAAATATCCCATCACCGTGATATTATGGAAAAGAAGGCGAAAACGTAGTTACTTGACTATTCGAGGTTGAAGATCATAATGAGCAAAAGAAATTATTGATTACACGAAATAACCGATATTGCATTTTTTAGAACCGAAATAGCGTATTTAAGTAGCGTTTGAGTCTCAACATCATGAACAACTGCTCGCTGTTACCAAATGTTAAGATTAAACTAATGATATTACAAGACTATTCAATACCAAGAAAAACAAGAAGTGTCTTTTGTTTTTACAGTTTTATTTCAGAAGACGTTTGTTATTAAGACTACAATTTGAATACTAGTCTCTAGCACATCTTTTTAGAACATTAAATTCTTTTTGCTCGAATATACCTGCAAGCAGTTATCTAATCTGACAGATGAATTTTGAAATATTAGTAGATGTTTGCCACATTACTCGTTATTTTACAATTCCATGTAATTGTCAAACATCATCTTAAGAGATTTTATATGATTCTAACTGTCGATTGTACTTATTCCTAGGTAAAACATCCGTATGACCACAACGTTAGAGTTAGGCACATATTTTTTGTC